CAATCCGTTCTTTTGTTAAAATGATAGGGAGAGTATTAATTAAAGCAGAGTGGACTTTCTTACACAATACACATGATAAAACACATCAAGAAAGAAAATATACTCAATCATGGGTTATTTTGTGCAACATAATTAGGAGCAGAACCAAGCAACGAAACTACACCTTCAAGTCAAATACACTACAACTCTTTGAAATAAAGTGTTTGAACAACATGCTCCCAGTGCTTGAGAAACTCAATCAAAGAAGGCCTGAAACTTACAAAACTAACAAATGTGTTATATGTAAGAAAAAGAAAGAAAATGTAGAACACTTGGTGAGCTGCGAGCGATCTTTAAACTTACTCCGCACTCTAGAAGAACAAGTAGTAGAAGCAACTCTGTGCGAATTAAAAAATGTAGAGAGCTTGGAAGAAATTAAAGAAGAAGTTTTAATAATGCTAGGAAAAGGATCCCAAGTTGATGAAATGCGCAGAAGAGAAAGATAGATCAGAGGCTTAATCACAAAAGAAGACTTCGAAGAGTTGAGATCTCTTTTTGACTCGAACAACCAAACAAAGCAATTTTTAGGAAGTCTTTAGAAGAATTGGATAAAAGAAGTATACGAGAGAATCTGGGTCCCAAGATGCAAATTAGTACAGGAATGGGAGAAAGAAAATGGAATTGTGCCAAAAGATAAAAGAAGATTTCATGAAAAGACAAGAAAGAAGAGAGAAAAGAAGAAGAAATCCCCAGTTGGGCATACCATTAAAAGAAAAAAAAATGAAAATGAGAATAAAAGGTGGCTGTCAGTTCTAGAAATAACCAAGAAGGAAGTGGCAAGGTGGATTGTTGAAGAACAACGTTCAGATTGGTGTAAAATGGATATATAGTCTTGACAGGCGGTAAGAACCAGCTGTTGATGTATTATCGAAGCCAATTGCAGAATAAGGTAATACAGAGGCAATTCTTACTATAGCAGGTCGCACATAGGTACTCAATAAGCAACCGGGTGAGTCTTCATTTGTAATTTAGGTACTGGAGAGAATAACTCTCTAGAAAAATTTTAATAGTTTAAATAATTATTACAAAGTCTAATAAAGTGAAGGCAAGACTGCCAAATTATATAATAATATTTACCAATACTAAGTATCTTAAAATTAAAATAATACTTACACAGTTATAAAAAAAAATTTATTAAAAATTAATATGTTTTTAATACTGTATTTATTAACCAATCAAAATAAATTATATAAATATTATATATCTGATATTAGTAAAAAATTATCTAAATACGTGATATATATATATATATATACTCATTTAAAAAAAACTAACCAATTATATAATATATATAAGCTATATACTATATATATAAGTATATATTAACAATTTATATGCGTACTAATTTTACTATCAACAATTAGAGAAAATTAAATATTTTACCGTACAGCGATTCGTCATTATAGCCGGTATTACCATATTAAGAAATTTTAGATGTAATACAAGATACGCGTCAATAAACAAATGCGTGACTATTATTTACAGTTATCAGAATAACAATCAAAACAAATATAAAAGTAGCAAATTTAGAATAAACAATAAATACACATGTATATTTTCATTCCCCAATTTTTTTTTTTAATTTTTGACATTTAAATCATTTATTTTCACTTATTCTCGTTACATTCTTAAAAACACTTTTATTATTATCATGTCTACCGCAGATAAAGTTGACACAACTGGGAGATCCCGCGTACGAACCTCTGAAACAACACCGGCTAAAGTTGGTTCGGAAGACACTGGCGGTAAGACTAAAGCTAAACGCGTCGCTAAAGTTGGAGCAAAGAGCACCTCAAAAACTTCCAAAAGCTTCAAAGCCGGACTTACGTTTCCAGTTGGTCGTATGGGTCGACTTCTCAAGAAAGGACGTTACGCCGATCGTGTAGGTGCAGGTGCACCAGTTTATTTGGCAGCTGTTATTGAATATTTGACGGCTGAAGTTCTCGAACTTGCCGGGAACGCTGCACGCGATAACAAGAAACAAAGAATTATTCCGAGGCATTTGCAACTGGCTATACGAAATGACGAGGAACTAAACATTTTGCTTAGAAACGTCCATATCTCCGAGGGAGGTGTGCTTCCAAATATTCATGCGGAACTTCTTCCTAAGAAGAAAGGTGAAAAAATCAAGTCAAGCACCACAGAGCCTCCTAAAAAACCAAAAGCCAAATCTCAAGGGGCAAAAACAACTGCTGCTGCTTCTTAATTCAAGTTGGGATGATTATATGATCTGTTTCAGTATTCATATTTTGTAGTTATAAGTGTTTTATATCAAATTTCATTTATTCTACATGTTTTTTTTATTTTTTTTTTATTTTATTATTTGATTTATTTGGGGGAAACTTTTTATGACGTTGAAAAACAACTTTCGAAATGACCCAATCATGTGATTTTTTAAAAATAGAAAATGGTTTTGAAATTTGCCAACTCTGAATCAGAATCAATATAATCAATATTTACTTATCGTTGTTAGACAAGTTTCATTGTTTTTAATCATCTCCTTATAGAAGAATTTATTAAAGTTTCAAATGAGAATTTGATTTTTAATTAGTGTTTAATATGATACAATATGTTTCAATGTCAAGTTTTATATGCTTTGCTTTTTTTAATACTGTACTAGTCATTTAGTATGTGCACTGCGTTGTGTTTGAATATAAATTCTTGTTACAGTAAAGATACAAACGGCTCTATCGGCTTATATATTGTAATAACCGAGTAATCAATAGAACCGATGAGCCGATTTGCATCTCAGGTTTGTAACGAAAGTGAGTTAACTTACTTCGTTATAAATAACTTTTAATAATTTACATGTTTACAATATAAATTATAAATTATTAAAAATTGTTTATATTTATTGCTGTTACGTAAAATTAATAATTTTTGAAAAAACTGTTTCGTATATTACAGTATTATTAAAAAAACATTGAGATGCCAAGAGAAAGTGAGCCTCAATTTTATTTATATTGACAATCACAAACAAATTTGATTATTCAATTTTTTCCTTTGTTTCATTGCAAAAATGAATGAGTGACACCAATGGTAAACCCAGAATTCTTATTGGATAAAAATTTCAGTTTTCATTCGAATTTTTGATAAAATTCTAGTTTTATATCTATTTAATAGTTATGACGCAAACACTTTAATAATACGAACGCTTCAGTAACTTACCATTTTTTTATATTTGAAGCAATGCAGTCAGGTTTTTTTTAAAAAAAAAAATCTATTCAGTAATGGCATCTAGACTTTGTTGGAACATTTTTAACAAATCATTTTTATCTTCTAAGCCTACGCTCACTCGAATAAGACCTGGTTCAACACCATAACGTGATGCCCAATCTAATTCATGATAATGCGCTAAAATTGTATAAGGGCACGCTAAAGTGAAATTAGTACCAAGAGATGGTCCTTTAGCAATTACAAGTGAATCAAAAAATTGTTGAGCTGCAAGATCTGAATGGAAAGTAATTGAGAATAATCCACCAAATCCACCGTTAACCGTTTTATATTGAAGGTAGATGTCGGGTGTAACATATTTTGGATAGTAAATTTTTCTGACTAATATTATGTTGGCATATAAAAGAATAATATAAATTTTAATTTCATAATCGTGCTATTAAGTAATAAACTTTAATGAACACCAACCTTTAGGACTACTTCTAAGTAATTCACATATTTCCTCTGTACTTTCATTGATTTTCATAATACGTTCTCTGAAAGTTCTCGAATTACGTTCGAGGAAAACTGCATCTTCCCCCCATAAAAGGTCCTCATATTCATTATTTATAACTTTTTTCAGCTCCTCATAATAGCGTCCTTGAGGATTCAGAACCAATCTTTTTTTTTTTTTAATATTAAAAATCATGTAAATAACTATGTATATAATTATCAGGGCAAAAAAATTTTTTTTTGGTGTATACCTGCTCGTATACTGTGTATGCTCGTATACTGAATTAGACGTGTAATTGTTTTTGGTAAACAATAAGTACGTATGTATGTAAGTATCGATCTTCCATCGATGTGCTAAGGTAATCCGGTATACGAGTATACACTAGAGATGCAGGCGAATCGTCCCAATGATGCCATAACTTTTGCCGTAACTACCACTGTAATATGTAATAATTATAATGAGTTACGGTTTTTTGTTATAACTTTATTATGTTACAAGTTACGGAAATTCGCCTGCACCTTTATTTTAGTATACACCTAAAAAATTTTTTTGCCTTGATTTCTACTATTTCGAAAACCGCGATAATTTCAAAATCAATATTATAATTACCCTCCTCCCATGACGTTACTATCTCCACTAAAAATCTTGGTTAAACTTGATACAATAATATCTGCCCACTCAAAAACCTTAACATTGACAAAATTTCCGATTGTTTCATCTACTACAATCGGAAAATCATACTTATCCGCAAGAATTCTAAGACGCCTCAAATCTGGCGATTTACATAGTGGATTACTTGGAAATTCACAAAATAGTGCTAAAATCTTTTCTCCTGATTCGAGAAGACTTTCTATCTCATCTATATCTGATGACAAACCATTACCATAAAAATAACATCCCGGTCCAAATTTTTGCAAAATTTTTAAGGTATCAACATATGTGAACCTATAAATTTTATTTTATTCTATTACTATCGTGAATATATTTTGTAAATTTAATATGTTATTAATACATACCCAAAGCAGATACTTTTTCTCTGTGAAAATGCCGTCAATAAAAATCGGTGAGCATGGAAGATGGAACTCATTCCACTTGGGAAAAGAAAAACATCATCTTCTGTTACGTTTTTTTCCACTCGTTCAGTTAGAACAGATCCATCCTTGCTCTCTTCAATTCTTATGCTACTAGCAATTCTTCGCCTAAGTTCAATTTTTGCCTTTTCATTAAATGATATAGGTAAATTGCGACCATAACGTTCTTCAACATAAAAGTTCTGCTCAATAAAATTAGAGTTGTCAATCAATGAAATATCTGTGGATAAAGTTTCCTTAGGTTCACAAGCTAGATTCGATATTTGTCCATTGGAATATCGTTTACAAAATGAAGCTCTTTTCGTAAAAACTTTATTAAAGCTTTTTGTGTACTGTTCATTGAATTTTGTTTGCAGTATATTAAGAGCATATTCAGCTAATCGGGAACTAATACCATCTCCTGTATGTTGCCAAAAAGTCTTTGCCACAGAGAATGCGTCTTTTGGAAAAAGAACTACATGCAATGTGATATTGCCTTGAATCAATAATTTGTTTCGATCTGGTGTTACAACGGTGAATTCGGCTAAACGAAGACTAGCGGAATTACTAAGCTCATAGTATCGGCGTAAGTAATCTCGACAACGTTCTGCAGTTTTACGACTAGGATACAACAAACATGACTCGGATGGTTTTGCAAATTTTTGTTCACATGTCGACATTAACTACAAGAGAAGTCAAAAAACTTTAAACAAATAGACATATAATTCATAGCATAGTATTTATTTTATAGATATTTATGACATACCTTCTCGATTTGTTTATTAATAAAAAACCTTGGATACCCTGTTAACATTCGATTTACAACTCTCTCACGACCCTCTTCGTAGTCTACATTATCTTGCCACTTTGGAAGCGCTACAGAGATAGCGTGTGGTGTGTTTGCTGGGATAGGACAGCCAACTTCCGCTGGAGGACTTGAATGTGAAGTTGTAGGCATGTTTCTGTAATCTAAATTCGAGATCAGATTATCGATATTAAATTTTTTTTTAAAATGTACTACGTACGTGCGTACGTACATTTTTCAAGCCCAAAAAAAGAAATTACACAATATCGATATACGTAAAAAAATTACATCACACATACCCGCGACACATGTGGCGTAATGCCGTAGGTCGTAATATGCGCCGTAGGTCGCAATTTGCTCCATATTTCATAATATACGTTTATGTTATCGTACGTACGTATATATACAGTATCTGGTATATGAATTACTGTAAAAACTAAGCAATTCCAAATTCTATTTATTTATATATTTATTTATTACAACGTTTGATATTTTACTTCCGGAGGAAAACAATCCACATCTTGTAAATCATTTGTTCGAGTATGAACTATATCAGTTTCAATAATTGGCCACCCAAACAGCTGGACAGTGATAACAAGACGATTTATAATGCTCTGCCCCTACTAGAACCTTTTAAATAGAATATCAAAGTTGGGTACACGAATTTTTTGTTTTTTTTATTTGAACTGAAATATCATCCAAGCTTTCACAAATAATATTTACGTAATAAATCAATTACCTATGTACATATTTATTTTGTTATTACAATTTGAATAATTGGGGGTTTCAAAGTTAACAAATAAGTGACGCATTTCGAAAATAAATAGGATTTTTTCAATAGTATTTTTACTATGTTAAATTATAAATCGGAAAAATAAAATAAGTTTCTCTGATTTTAACTTTGAAACCCCCTAATATACTATATCTGATATACGTAATAAATCGATTATGTATATACGTATCAAGTATGAAATTTATTTCGTTGTTACAATCTACATACTATACTACATGAATTATACGACTCACGACGCAGTATTTTAATACTACCACAATTACGACCTACGTCAATACTACAATCGGTCGTAATTAATTGCCTCAAAACAGCGACACCACTACGCATACGTATAAAATTAGAGGTCGTCGAAAGCCAGGTAGTTTTTGAAATTGATTAATCTTACGTGACACATATAAATTGCTATATGACTTTAAACGATTCCCAAAATTGATATCTCTTTTTTTTATAGCGGAGTTTTGATGTAAAGATCCTGATGGGGCATCGGAACGGAGCAATAGATCGGGTGATGAGTTTATTTTATAATTTGAGTATCGGTTCTATTGATATCTGATATGCAAAACCTGTCGAGCCGCTTTTTTGCATCAGTTCTACGTAAGCGTACTACCAGAAAGTAAATTTTATTAAGAATAGATAATAGATATCGATATTATAATTTTAACGTAACATCACATGCCGGAGTTTGTGATCATCAATCACTCCCCAATATATAATATGCGTCGATCTTGTTTTAACGTCCCGTTAGAATCTATCGCTATACATTCAATATGTTACTTACGGATGTTGTCTGGGTTAGCACGGAAACATTTGGTTGGTGGCCTGCAGAGGTATGTCAAGTTTAACTTGTTCTTGCGTGTATCTCACTAATTTAAAGTAATATTAACACGTTCTTAAAGATAATAAGTCAAAATAAATCCGAAAAACCTTTACGTGTCCAACTTTTTGGTGATATCCCGAAAAAGTAAGATAAAATGCTTACTATTTATTCGAGTCAATCTATGTATAAACAATTTTAGCGTTCTCCTGTTTAATTTACAGAACTATGGAACTTGACAACACGTCAGGTGTTTTTATTCTCCCATTTCGCTGTGACAAGTCTTCCGAGTTTTTGGAGAATGGAAGAAATTCTGATATGAAAGAAATATTTAAAAACGCGGTTTCAGAAGCTGAGGAAAAAGAAACTGAAGAAAATGATGGCTTACCCAGTGAGGACTATGCTTTTCATAAAATTGTTGATTCTGTTGATTCTACAAAGCCATCGAAACGGAGAAAGATTACTCCTGAAAAAAGTATGCAAAATACATAGTCAATCAATAATGGTTCAATACTTTAGTAGAAAAAATGAACCTTTTTATAAATTCGGTGGCGTTTTCACAGGATCTACGAGAGGAAAAAGGAAAAGTTTTGGCTCAGCAAATTGTCATATAACTCATGAGACTTCATCGAATAAGCAGTGAGTAAAATCTAAAAACTCTTAAATGATGTAGGATTCATTATTATAAAGCCTGATCATGTTAACTTTCAGATCCACAATTCTGGGTTCAGGCAATGCTGATATGAATTTTCAAGAAGATGGAAGGTTTGAATTTTAAGAATTGTTTCGTAAATAATATGTTCTAACAGAATATTTATATCAAAAATTACATAATTATACATATATATTAGCCTTATGATCCCTGGCGAACCAGTGCTCGCCTGGTCACGCAAAAAATATTATCCAGCGAAAATTATAAGTTATACTGAAGTAATTAGCTTAATTGATATTATATTATTATTATATGAAAAGAATAATTAATAATAACGTTCTTTTTAATTTTATAGCCAGATAAATATAAAATAAAATTTTGTGATGGAACGACATCAGTAATTTCTCGAAAGAAATTCTTTACGAGATATGAAGATGGATTTCAAACATGTCAAGTAATTTAATTAAATAGAATAACCGGTTTTTGATTTGTAATACTTGCATTTAAGGTGTTTGAACTGACAAATTAAAAATTTATTTATTTATTTCACGTCTAAAAGTTGGGTGGTATTGAGTTAGAAAAAGAGGATCCCAATTACTATGATCAGGAACTTATTGATCAAGTCCATGATCTTGAAGATATACTTTATCGAGTTTTGACGGGTAGCGAAGAATCCGCATGGAGATATCGAGATTTTATTGAAGGAGGTAAAAAACGAAATCAACTTGCAAAAAAAGTATCTCCCGGACCTTTTAGCTTAAGCGAATTCGCCATGATTGCTAAAGTTTTGAGAGGCATGTTTATACCGGAAGTTGCTGAGTCGATTGATCGACATGAAAAAATATCTTCTCCAAAAAAGAGAAAGGGATGTAATGGTGGCGATCTAAATGGACAAAAATCAATCAAAATACCCGATAATTCCATTTTTTATAAATATTCAAAAGATTTAAAACTTCGGTTTGTAAGTGATGTTTTACTCCCTGAAGTTATTATCAGACTTATAATGGATGATGAAGGAATTGATTATGATTCAGCAGATGAACAAATGTTGACAGGATATGATGATTCAAAATGGGTGGAGAATCTTATGGCCGTAAGAATTAGTTTTCAAGTTGGTAAGGAAAGTTTGCTTGAAAAATCTTAAAATTTTCACTTAGAATCACCATTTAAAGATATTGCGCAGGGAAAAAGAGGGCCATTATATCATTACGTATTGGGATTAGATTCGAATAATGCTACGATAGCTACTATAGCTAATATTATTAACAATTTATTATAAACATTACACATTAATTCGTATACCTCGTATACTGTAATTGCTAAGAATATTTATTAATTTTAGCAAACCATGTGACAACATTATTACTGGATAAAAGTGATATACATACATATATTTCGGGAATAAAGCAAGCATGCATAAATGTTATTTATTTATTTTATACGTATCGATATTATTTCGCCTATTTCAGTATTTATTCAAGCTTACAATAATCAACAATTATTCCCATATAAAAAACATTCTGCAACGTACAATGATAATATTTATTGTAGTTAGGAAAGAATATGGATGATTTAATTTTCTCAGCTCATTATATTAAATAATTATTAACTCCCTGCCTTTTAAGATCTGAATAGTCTTGCCTTACCATAGATAGGTTTGTATGAGAAGGATCTAACTACAAAAATGGCAGATTGCCCGATTGTCACAAAATTTCCAAACAGATAAAACTCGAAAATCATACATTAAAGAAACTCGACGTAGTGTATTCGTTAAATTAAAATTACATGTACGTACGTATTTATTTCGCTCATATTATTTTAGAACCTCTGGTAAAATATCTTTCTGTTAGAAACTTGAATGATAAAAATATGCATGATCATGAGACCAATTAGTTATATGCGTATATATATATATGGTTATTTCTAGTTCTAGAATTTATAAAGAAAAAAAAATGAATACACCAGGATCTGTTCTTCTTGGATGGTATGTTAATTGTTCCAAGTTGATTTACTTTAATTGCAATTGTTAATATCTTCAATTAACTATGAATCCGATTATGAACTTTATAATTTAAACAAAGGGTTGTATTAATCGGTGGTAAGTTGCAACATGTGCCATAATTTCAATTCAAAATATCCGTTTAATATGAAATTTGTTTGATTCATATTAAGCTGGTGGTGGCGCATTTTATTACGCAAAAAAGGATATTAACGCTAGAAGGCGAGCCCAAGAATTATCTAAGACTAGGCCACCCGAAAAATTAGAATGTAGGTCCTTTTTTTTTTTAACATTATTTCTGAAAGAATTTACCGACTAAACAAAAATTTTTCCTAAAAATTATAAGGGTGGCAAAGGATTGAGCAGGACGAAAAAGCTAGTACGGCGAAGAATTCAAGTGATGAGGCATCGGGTTCTGGAAATACCACTGGTTCAAGTAATGGCAGTAGCACTTAATATTTCAAAACTTGAGATTTACTTTGGCGAATGATATGAGATATTTATTAGAATAGTTTAATATATATTTATTATATACAGTATATATTTCTGTAAACGTACAAGATTTTCTAGATCTTAAAAATACTGTATAATTTATATAATAGATTAGTTAAACTGTTTTAAAGCAAGCGAACAAAACTGATTTTCGAGTAGTAAAAAAACTAATTCTATTATAATAATATATTAATACAGTATATAGTATATACATGTAAATTACTTACTGTAAGTGTGTGAAATTTTAAAATTAATATAATTAGTATATATATATATATATATACAGTATATAGCATTAATTTTATTAGCATGCTACAGTATTTTGTACAAATAAATTTAGAAGTTTAGGCAAGATAAAACAAAGTTAGTCTTGTTAATATGTATTTAATAATACAAAATCTTTATATAGTAAATATACCTTTATATATATATGTATATTAGGGAATATTATATTCATAACCCCTTGCTATTATAACACCTATATATATATAGTTTGAGTAATATTAGCAGCTTTAAGATAAATGGATATTAGATATAAGGTTCCGATTTCGGTTTTTGGGTTCCTGAACATTTTTACTTGGAGTATTCGATCCCGTTTACTTAGTACGTACGTTTTTGAGATATAGCATGTGTTATATAACACAGTGTTATAAATATAACTTTCCATGTATATAAAAAAATTAATACCTTAACTTTCACAGCTCATATCTCGATGAACTTTGAGGCTATCTTGATTTAATATTCAAAAGAAAGCTTGGATCGTAAGCTTTATTTTTACTATTAAATAATTAAGATAGCCTCAAAACCCATCGAGATATGAGCTGTGAAAGTTAAGGTATTAATTTTTTTTAAAATGTCAATCTGCCTTATTTTTATTGACAGCAGCCCATATATATATACTGTATATATATATACTGTATATACATACTGTATTAAACTTTAATTCAAACATGTACGGTATATATATAATCTTTATATATATATAGAGTGTTAGTAGAAACCAAGCAAATTGTTTCTAAGTAAAATTTTTTTAAACTTTAAAATATCTTAACTATTAAACTAAATAAACATTTTTTATTTAGTTATAGAATTACAGTAAATTAAAAAATATTTTATCAATTTAATAATTTTTGGATATTTTAAATTTTAAAAAAAAATTACTAAAAATCATTTGCTTGATTTTTACTAACACCCCCAATATTGACGGGATATGAAAATCTGTAAAATATTTCACTCATTGTCATCACAATGATATCTACTCTTATAAGAATTAGGGATACATATCATCACTGCGATGACAATGAGTGAAATAATTTACAGGTTTTCATATATTATAATTTTTTAAATACATAAAGACAAACTTGTTTACTAACTTATACTGTATTAAATAATCTATTAATTAATACCAGGGGTTTTTAATACCGGGATGCTTCCTAAAAACCAAGCATAGGGTCGGGTTCTCTACATAAAAATGGTCAAAACCCCCAAAATACTGCTAACTAAAATTTGAACCTTTATATAAAACCTCTGCCTTATTCTAAACTTGCACCCTAACTCTAAATTTTAATAGGAAATTTATTATATTGTAAAATAGAAATGGATATCAACGTAATATGGGGGGTGTCAGTAGAAACCAGGCAAATTGTTTTTAGTTTTTTTAAAACTTTAAATTAAAATATCTCAACAACTATTAAGCTAAACTTGACAGATTTTTTTTTATTTTAATTCTATAACTAAATAGAATTAAAATAAGTTTAATAGTTGTTGAGATATTTTAATTTAAAGACTAAAAAAAATTTACTTAGAAACAATTTGCCTGGTTTCTACTAACACCCCCCATATATATAAAAATAATTTAAAAATATTAAGTCTTGTAACAATACTATTCTAATATTTAATTTTTGCAATGCAATTTTAGCAACAAAAAATAATTAAATATATAATAGTTTAATAAAATAATATTAAATTATTATTTATGTATCATTCTCTTTTAAATACACTTTTACATAATAAATTTTCTTTTGCTTTGAATGATATATTCAATGCAGGGTCTAATTTTTTTGGTTCTTCCATAAATAACAATCCCCCCACTCCCATATATGCATGCATTACATCTTAAAAAGAAGAAAATGCAATTTGAGTATTAGTATCTAAGAAAAAACAGTAATTACTATAAACGTTTATTACCGGGATAATATCCAGGGCATTTTGAAAATCCACCAAGTGGTGATTTAGTTTCCATTAAAAAATTATAATTCTGGTCATAATCAATAAATTCAAAAGAATCTAATATCTTATGATTATATTAAGAGTGATTAGATGATAAAATGTATTTATGGAATCATTCATTAGTAAATAAAAATGCAAACCATTAACGATGCACCAATCCAAAATGAATAGCATGTATCAGGTGGTTTATTAGCTCGTCCTTGAAATCCACTTTCTTGGCGTGATATAAGCCAGAATATTGTTTTATCTTTTGACAAAAGCCCTTCATCGAGTTTGTTTAGAAGATAAAGTGAGGCAATAGCACAATATGTTGATCCTCCTATGTGAGTTTTAATTAGTTACAGAATGCTTTGTTAAATATATCATTAAAGGTCGATGGACATACCGTGTGACTCTTCGCCAGGCCCTTGACCAATACCGTAGTCATATGACTTCGTTATACCATAAACGAAATTCAATAATGAATATAATGGCAAGGAAATTCAAGCATCATAAAAGTTAGATACCTGACTTTCTTTTATATATTGAACAACCTTATCTATGTTAATCCCACTGAAATCGTCCAATATATATGATATGGCACATGCACAATACACAAACCGCATGTCAGATTCCATGCCTTGATATGTTTGAGTGAAGCTAACGAAATGTTAATTTAAACGTATTTGTCAGGATTGAATAACACTATTTGTAAAGCAAAGTGGGTTCTTACCTTCCATCTTCCTTTTGCAGAAATTTCATTGCATTAATTATGGCAGATTTGTCTACACGTGACAAATCATCTCCTAATATGAGTAAAGAAGCCAGGGCAGTATAAGTCATTGCAAGGTTTGATGCATCGAACGGTAATCTTGACGCGCGACACTATCAAAATTTTAAGTTCATATTGTATATATATAAAGTATCACGTTAATATTTGGTCAAGCAACCTTAATAATATTTATTTACACCTATTATAAAGTCTGAATTTACTCCGTTTGGGTTATACGGTAGACCCGAAAATGGAGAACCCCTGAAACCACAAATCCTTTCATTAAGCTCTAAATTTCGATTAAGCGAAATTATTATTATTATTATTAATATATTCACGTGTTAATCCATAAATTCATTTGTATGAAGTACCAGGATTATTTTCGTCAGGCAAAATTTGTTGTGCATATATCCAATCAATCCAATTGTTTATTCGTTCTTGTGTAAATTCTGTTTCAAGGGCGCCCAATAGATCCAACCCTGATAAAGAATAAAAAGCCAATGTCATTCTAACATTAAAGCATTAAAGCCAGGTTAGAAAAAGGATTATATTTATTGAAAAACAAGTTTAATCTTATGTGCATTACAAATCGAAATGTATTCTTTACCTATGAGTGTCATTACTTTCATATTGTTTTGGAAGAAATTCTAAGCAGCGTCTAAAATATCCTATAGCTTTATCACGATCAAATGCTTTTACATCTTCGGCCTGCATGTTTTCAGAACTAGTGAGTTTTTCTTATAATTGCATGAAAATATGGGACGAAGCAGTATTAAGTGATTTAGAAAATTGATTTTTAAAAAAAGATTTTTGAGTAACAAATTATACGCGCCTAACGCCAATGCTATATCACGGTAACTTTTCTGCGCCTCACATTTCCCTTATGATCATTATTTCTGTCCTGCCTCTTAAGCGTTACCTTATCATCATAACTGATCGTCCTCCTTCTGATCCCATCAAACCGTTAAAACTGCTCCCCATGATTATAGATTATCTAATTTATACCCTCTATCTGTTATTATCCATCGTATACAATAAGATATACTATGGACGCGTACTCGTGATAACACCAGGCATTCGATTATTATTAAGATCGTGTTAGGAGCGTTATTAAAGGAGTGATAATAAATATTTCAGACGGAAGTCTTAATTTAGACAAAGGTGCGGGAGGAATTGAAATGAATGGGTGTTTGTAATGGCGAATGGAAGTTGATGTATCGGAGCGATTCTAAGTTGCTAACATGTATAAAAACAGTGTATTCACCTTGCTTGTATCTTAAGGCTCTACCGGTATCCGCCTCCTTTATAATGAATGATACTTCATTATATTGTATTCTTGAACTGCATGATTTCTTATTTTGAATTACACATATGCTTGGCTTGTATCCATCATCTTGATTATTATATACGCGTACATAATTATTATATTTTTCGTTTACTATCCTGACTATCCTGTCTGATGCTCTCCCAAAAGATAGTAACAACGGCTAATGCTAAATGATGGGCATCTCATAATCTTGATACTAATCTTTTTTATTATTTTATTTTATTTATAATTTTACTAAATCATTTTGACTTTGTCAAAAGATCTCAAACTTATATTTTATTTTTATTTTTAGCGTGTACAAAATTAATACCTATTTACTTATGCAGTATATTATACAAGTGCTAAAATTTATTTCTTTGATTAAGAGATAAAGGATTAAGCATGTGCAGATTGTCATGTGATATTATATATATATTTCTATACTTAAAATATTATCAATTACTGCAACATTTTATTTTTTTTTTTTTTTCGGTATTAAGGTGACCTCCTTGGCCTGGGGACTTTTTATTAGTAAGTATTAGTTATTACAGTTACAATGAAGATACAACTAGCCACACGTGCACCTTTTGGGTGCCTATTTAAGTAGTCCGCCCGCAGGTTCTACACTAGATGTCGTACCTATAACCCAACTAGGGAGTTATCCTTTTAAACCTTCTGATCCTAACTGTATTTATAACCTATCATACTAACCCAGGAACTACCATCTGGCCCGTTCCTCTAGATTTTGCACCCTGCCTTAGGACTTTTGTGACTTATCCTGGGTTTGCACCAACTAATTACCGGCTTGCATTCCTCCATTGAGCAGACGCACAACTATCCACGAGGTAAACCTACCAGAGCTTTCCCTATCCTATTTTGAGCCAACCTGGTTTTGCGCAGTTGCCGAGACTCCCACTTGCAGTTGGGCTATTACTCATTTAATCGCTTTTGCTCTTTTAAGGTTTACTTTCCAATCCTAATACCCGCATTCGGACCTTTCCTTTTTCTATTATTTCTTTATTAGTCCATCCTTTACTTCTAACCAATGATCCGGAAGATTTGACCTTGGCTTGGTATTAGGTGCTAGTGCCCTTGTCTCGTCTTGGCACATGATTTCATAGCATATGTCCTTTTCCTCTAATTTGGTTGGCTGGTCTTTCAGACACGCCCAGCATTTTTCCATCCAACTGGTTTCCCCCGACTTCCATAGCCCCTGGTCTTGGTAGGTAGGGCCCCCACCACTAGTTTCTCACGTTAGCTAGCCAGGGTTGGTGTACTCCATAATGGCCTCACAGATTTCTGGCTTTTCTAAATTGGCAATTGGGTTAGTAAATCCTCCTACTAAAGGATTTTGTTGTTGTTCGTTTCTCCAATCTTGGTCCTAACTTCCAAATTTGGGTCTTTCCTGTGGCACTGTTGAAGATTGTAGTTATTCCTTACTCGGGTCTTCCCAAACAGGTTTCGATCATACCAGTTTCTTGGCATTTCTACACCAAAGCTCCCATTCTAGATAGTGCAACCAAGATTACAGATTTCTAGATCCAACCGATCGATAGATAATCGTTACCTAATGCAAATCTATTTTTCAAAAAATATCATCCGTGGAATTCGAACTCTAAACCTACCGCTTGGTGGGGTGACGACTAGACCACTTCACTAGGCCGCTACATCCATAAAATAAATAATTTTAAAAAACAACAAAACAAATTAATGCCATTATTATCTAATAAAATTTAAAAAAGATCTAATAATGTGAATATCTAAATATTTTTAAAAACGTGAAGACAAACTACTTTAACAATAAAAATAAATACTAAATTGGAACACTTTCATATTTTTATCAAATATAAAAGTGTTCTGATTTAGTTATTTTTTTAGACATGTGAGTAAAAAAAGTACAGATTGTTACATAAGACCTATACAATAAATAATTTTATTTTTTAAAGTATTCAGATTGATGGTAAATATTTGTATACAAATATTTGAACAGAATTTTAAAGTTTTTTTAGTAATTTTTATGCAGATTTCTAAATCTTTCTTCAAAATCTCTGCCAGAGTCAAAATTCTGCACAGATTTTTTACTAATTAAGAGAATTGTATTTCTGTATCTAACTATGTGACTAATTTCAGGTATACTTTTAACTATTAACTAGTCAACAAATCTTGTCATGTAGAGTAGTAACATGTTTGTTACTAAACAAAATACATGGTTGCAATCTACTGAATTGACTGAATTTAGAAAGAGTAAACAATACTAATCTTTTGATAGAGATAAGCTGTTTTGTCCACTTTTTTAAAAAATTTTATTGTAAATACAAGTAGGTAATAGTAAAAAGTATAGACCTTGTACTTTTCTTAAAAGAGTATATATTTTTCACCAAAAATAATAAAACAAGTAGATCTAAGCGCACTGTTAATATTCTTTTTAGTAAGTAATAAACTCTAAACTTGTTAGCAAGTAGTGTATGAGAACTATTTCTAAATAACAAGTGCTATCTTTATAGTGATTAATAAGCTCTAAACCTATTAGCAGATAGTATATAAGAACTATCTCTAAATAATAGGCATTGGTTTATAGTTCTTGTTAGTCTTATGTCCTTCTTTTCTAGTATAGTTTTACTGTTTTTGTTGAAAATTTTTGTTTTGAAAAGTTGGTCCAAGTAATTTTTGGAAAGAGTTGTTGTTTATCTCTTAATTGATAAAGATTTGCAGACAAATTTGGCTACATAATTACTATAAATATGTCTCTGATCTACTTTTTTAATTATTTAAAATATTTAAATAAAATTTAATATGATAATA